TATAAAAATAGATGGAATTAAATATCATTCAGTTGTATTGAAGTGCTATGATGAAATACATTGTGTACATTGTATTTTTAACTGAAAAAAAGTATTGATACTTTACATTGTAATGATCGGTTTTCAAATATCTGCATTTTATTTTAAATCACGAATATGTAGAAAAGCTTATCTAATTGTTCAAATTGCAACTTTCGAATGTAATATTTAAACGTATAATATAATATGCGTTAATTTTCCTATTGAGCCGATAAATCGCACAATAAAAAATTGTTTGGCAAATTATTTTGACTACATATTGTTTTAATTTAACTGTATACGGATTATATTTTTTTTTTACATAAACAACAATAAAATTCAATATATATTTATTATACATTGAATCTGAAATATTAAATGATTCTTAAAAATTTTAAGGCGATCCAGGATTACATAGCAAAAAGAAGTTATTACTTTGCATTGATTTTTCCATTAATTAAATTCTGGAACAGATATTGCCATATTAATAATAAAATTCGATTTGCTATGCTTTTTTATATAAATTATATCTGACAGTTGTAAAATTTAAGTACTGGCTATTAAGTATATTCATTTTTTTTTTTCATGTATGAAGAGTGAACTAAAATATATTTTGTAAATAAATATTTTTGATAGATGTTTTTTGAATCGTTATAAAAATACAAAATTTCTATGTTTTTTTATAAATTATTTTACATTTGTCAAAAGACTGATATAACCGTCTAATTATACCACTTTGGTCATTGTCGTATAAATACATGCAGATTTTGCTGTTCTCGTAGTAACGTAAGTTGACCTACATAAAACTACACAAATGCATAAATTTTTTGTATGTATCGTAATATTTATCGCTTACTTTTTAAATAAATCTTTATATGGTATAATGAAATGGAAGCAATATTATTAGGAAGGAAAATAATTCGTATATTCATTATTTATGATAAACGAAGTTATAAAATTAAAATTACTGCAAGCCTAATTTTTAAATCACATAATTTCCATTGAATTTCCATTGAATTTCCATTTCCAATAAAAAATACAATAAAACTAATAAAAAAGAGTAAACGAGAAGATCAAGAATAAAAATTCGACTATTACATAGAATAATTTGTTCCTAATTATATAGTACCGTAAATAATTAATTTTTGTACACACACACACACACACGCACGCACACACACATATTATTATTATTAATGCTTATTGATTAAAAAATTGAAGGACATTATTCATAATTCCAAATGCGACTTCCACTTAATGCCTTTATCTATAAATTTTGATATTAATTTTTACCAGCCCTTTTTATAATATTTTTTATAACAATGTATATTTCAACGTTTCTATACTTATTTAAAATTCGAAAATTAATTAAAAGAAATTATATTTATAAATTATTTTAAAATAATTACTATCAGCTAGTAAATTAATTTTTGAGATCGTTGATAATCATATATATTTTTTTCTGGTTTTTAGTTAGATTTTTTTTTTTTTTATTATTTAAGGGTAATAATGAGACAACGTATTTCTAAGAAAATTTAGAGTTTCAGAGAGATTTGAAATAACTTTAAATTCAGTTTATTTATATCAAATTTGTTATTTATAATCATAGACGAACAAGATTTTTACACGAATGATAGAACTAGTAGCAAATTTTTATTTTGTTTTTTAATAATAGTTTATTATTATTGGTTATCGATATTAAAAAAAAAAACAAAACAAAAAAAACAAAAAAAAAACCGTTAGAGTTTATTAGTTGTTTTTGAAGGTTTTCCTAGTTAATACATTTTTGGACATATTCGTTGAAAAAGCACATATATTCGTGTTCATGTAGTAAAGGTAGTAAATCAAAAATGTCCGTCGTATTTACGAAAGAAGTACATTTATAATACTTAAGTCCATCAGCTGAAATACATCATTTCAGATGTGTGCGCATAAATTTTTTATTCTTATGCATTATCTCATATATAATTTTACAATGCGTTTGACCACTTAAATTAATTTATATTTCTTTTATTTTTAATATATAAAAAGAAAATTAATTTGAAAAATCCATTTGTTTAATTCTATCTTTCACTTATCTATATATATATATATATATATATATATATATATTTTTTTTTTTTGTTTTTTAAAGAAATGTCATTTAAAATTTTATATGCCTATAGTATATTAGATAATAAATATCATTAATAAATGTTAAATGATTTTAGTTATTTATAAGGAGAATTTTGTGGACACATGTTTTTTATTTATTAATTAAATAATATGTTATACATGTATGTGAATCTTTTATTACGAGTCTGAATTATTGATATTGTATAAAATAGAAATAGATGGAAGAAAGAAAATTGCATTAATATAAATATTCGGTATGTTGAGACCCTATTTTGCGAAAGAATGAAAATATTATTCAAAATGAAGAATGAAAATAAATATTATTAAAATCAATGATCGTATGATATAAAATTTGAATTAATTCCAA